TCGGCTTCAAACGCCGATCGCCCGATTTCAACGGTCAAGTGATGACCGGACGCGTCAGTTAGGAAGTGACCGGACGCTGGATTTTAGTGTCCGGTCGTTTCCAGCAAGGTTCCAAACACGACATTTCACGACCGGACACGTCCGGTCCGGACACACCCTGCGTTCGGTCACTCCATGTTTCCTTTGTGCGCCCCACGTCAGCGTACGTCAGCACTGACCGGACGCACCCTGCTAGTGTCCGGTCACTTTTAGCGCCAGCATCCGGTCGAAGACCGAAACACGTGCCCTCTGCTGCCACTGACCAGACGCGCTAGTCCAACCAAGACCAGCGTCCGGTCACTTTCAGTGACCTTTGTCTTTTCTGTAAAGAGCGCCGGTGGCACTGTTGGACTGTCCGCACTCTACGGGCGGACACTCCGCCGGTGAAGATTCTAACACTTGCTCAAATGTGCCAACCACCAAGTGTATCACCTTGTGTACATGTGTTAGCATATTTTCACAAATGTTTACAAGGGTGTTAGCACTCCGCTAGATCCTAAATGCATATGCAATGAGTTAGAACATCTAGTGGCACTTTGATAACCGTATTTCGATATGAGTTTCACCCCTCTTAATAGTATGGCTATCGATCCTAAATGTGATCACACTCGCTAAGTGTCTTGATCACTAAAACAAAATGGCTCCTACTATTTATACCTTTGTCTTGAGCCTTTTGTTTTTCTCTTTCTTCTTTTCCAAGTTTAAGCATTTGATCATCACCATGCCATCACCATCATCATGATCTTTGTCATTGCTTCATCACTTGAAGTAGTGCTACCTATCTCATAATTACTTTGATAAACTAGGTTAGCACTTAGGGTTTCATCAATTAACCAAAACCAAACTAGAGCTTTCACCCATATCGTGAGAATCGTGTGCAAGTCGTCACCACTAGCTTGGAATCATCAGGATCGGTAACATTAACAGGTAGGCACCCCACTATTATGAACCCTGCTTTGGATACTCATCAAGTCGCATTATGAGTTATGCATTGCATGTAGAGTTGGATAATGAACTCTTTCACGTAACACTTAGAGTTACTCTTTAATCTGTTAGAAGCCTCTCACCCAAATAATGGGAATAGGAATGCTTAATGCTTATTGCTTAGTTGCTTGGGCAATGGTAGAAGTCGAGCATGAGAAGGGAACTCATACTCGCACGTGTAGGATGCTACACCTGGATAATTAACTATTAAAAACCAGTGAGGGTACAACTTGACCTATCTAACCAACCTAGTTAAGGAATGATATTCCTAATACGATAATCTTGATGACAACTTGGATATCTTGCTCATGTGAGGGGTAGGTCATCGTGAGTGTGGGATCTCAGATGACATAGCTCGTGGAGCAGTAAGGACCGTGTATTGGGATACTTAAGTTTGAGTAACCACCCGTATAGACCACATGTCATGGATGGGGTCGACAAGCCAAGTAATTGCGACTAGTTTATCCGTGAAACTGGCAAGGGGGTGGCGTTGGTCGAGAATGTCCGAGACATTGACAGGGAACCCAGTCGAACCTTTCATGTGACCTCGTGCCGAATTAGGAAAAGGTTGGAGAACGTGAGGCACCCCTTACTACTGGGCCCGGTGCATGGTAATTAGTCCCGTTTCTCTCTATGGGTATAGTTGTACACCTCTGCAGAGTCTCGAAAGCCTAGAGTCCTTTAGGACAGAACAATTCGGTTGTTCTTTCTTTCTATACCCATGGTAGAATGGATTATGGACTATGAGCACTTTTGTTATAATAATAAATGCTTTAATTCTAACGTTGAGCATAGCATGTCATACTCTTAATGAATATCATTGCTTTCTGCACTTATACAAATGCCTGATAATCACTCTATGCATCCACCAAGTATTATGTGTTGGAATTAAGTCCTGCGAGTACACAATGTACTCACGATGCAGCCGTTAAGTTATTTTGCAGGCGATCAGGGCATCTTCCCAAGACTAGCCCTGGTGAATGCAAAGGATAGCAGACCTTGGAACGGACGTTCTCAAAGATGAGCTACATGTAACTCGATGGGTAGACGAGTGACAAGTGCAACAACCTAGTGTAGGGATAGATTTGTTCGGAGCATTAGCCTCAGTAATAATGTTATTCTATCAAATCCTATTTTGTTTTCAACAATGTTTCAGGAACGAGCATGGGACTAGAGTGTGTATGCGACGGTGGGGGAAACGACGGTGAGCGACCACGGTGAGGAGCGCAAAAGGCGAGGCATGGCAAGGGAAAGGAGGTGCGGCTATTGGTTGGGCGGAGGGAAGTTGGAGGAGGCAGGAGTAGCGGCGGCGGTGAGCTTGCTTGGCCATCAATGGCGGTGGCGTGAGGGCGGCAGTGGCTAGCTGCTCCAGGCAAAGAGGAGCGGTGCGCCAGCTACGACGCACAACGGCGAAGGCGGTGGTGCACGCGGTGGGATGCGAGGGAGTTTGGAGGCCAGGAAACGGTGGTGGCCATGGAGCTCCACTGCTCGGCATCAATGGTGGCCGCGCTCTAGCGCACGCGCGTGTGGCACCGAGGGCGAGAGCGAGTAGGGGAGGAGTGGGGAGGCTCGAGCGTCCGCTTTGGAGGGTGCCGAGGCACGGCAGGGTGGCAGGCGCACGTGGCAGGGAGGTGCGAGCACGCTCAGGCATGGACGCCACGTCCCGGACACGCGTCGCCCGTTGAAGCAATTCCCCAAGCACGTGGCGGGCGACGATGTGGCCACTGCGGGACGCCGTTTTGGGCCGGCTACAGGCTGAATTAGACCTTGGGCCCAAAAGCAAAGTTGAAGCCCATGAACTGCTCTACATTTTTTTATATGGGCGCCGAGTCATTAGAGAAATAGATTAATGGGTAATTAAGCCCGAAGTTGACACTGTCAGCGACTAATCAAGTATTAAGCCTTTCTTTGCTTGAGCTCGAATTACTTGGTCAAAACGTGATCAAATTAATTCCAACTTTTTGTATGTCCTTGTCTAAAAGATGTAAACTCCAACTTTTATATTTGACTCAACTTGAGTTGCTTAACAAAAATCCGAGAATGTGAAACATCAATGTCAATGATGATGAATTCCAGACTTAGAATTATTTAGAGCCCAGAAATAGCAGCTGATTCCATCTTGAGTCCTCTGTTTGATCCACTTAGGAGTTGAATCAGGTCTTGGTCCAAAAATAAAGTTTGTTGTACTCCACTCAAATTTCAACTTTTATTAAAGGTCAAACTTCATATCTGGTACAGAAACAATTTCTTCATCTTGGTCAAAGCAGCACCTCGTTAAACCTTGGAATTAGGGTTTTCGACCAATTGAGGCATTTTCTTGACATTTGCTCAACACGAACCCTTCATGAATTTTGTTGTAGAGTTCAATTAGAGTCATTTGGACAAGTTAGCAAGGTTCGGTCGACATCTCATATTCCCATTTACTTAATAAAGCAATTTAAAAAAGACTATAATTTATCATTTCATGTGACTTCTTGATTCCAAACTTCATGAAACTTTTCCACTGGTCAAGATGGTGCATGTTGATGTAATGTACCTGAAACAAGCATGTTTAACATTACTCATGCCTAACCTTAACTAGGGTTCACATGTAAGCAAAGGTGTGTTGTCGAAGTTCGAGTTGGGACTCAATTTCATAGATTGGACCTCAATACCTTCATCACCACTTCAAAATTATAAACCAGAGATCATGATCATTACTTGACATAGTTTACTTAAGTCTAAATCCACTGCTTAACTCGTGCCTAACACCGGGGGTGTTACCTCCTAGGGGCCTCGAAGTTGTTAATTCGACAACCCCCGTCGGCTTCGATGTCGGTCCCTGACAGGAAGGGCATCGGGGTGCGACAATACAGATATGATGAAGATGAAAGACCACTATGGTAGAGATGGAACCACAACTGTGGCAACCGTAGATAAACTTCCTCAGCCTAAAACACAAAAGAAATGGGGATGATAACTTGATAAGAACTCGGATGTTAAGTCAACTTCTAAGGGTGTCATCCGGTTCGTCACCGAGGCGAGTTATCTGCCCATTCTGTTGTTGGAGGTTTGAGAGAATATTTGTGATGCTCTACAACACACAGTTGGCATCACCACTCTTCCATAGCTAACTAGACAAAGAAAGTTAAGCATAGTGTCTTAGCTGATCGCGCTACGTTGTGTATTTGTGCCATTTTTGCTATAGGACAGTGCAAAGTTATCAAATAATACTATATAGTCAGTGTATGGTTTGTTTGAAACTCACATCGATTATAATCCCACGGAACTAAAATATCTTTTGATCTATTGTTGACGAGAACAAATTAACATACACTGCTTAAGGTTCAATTTTCAATGGTAGAGAAATTGTGATAATCTTCTCTATTTTTCGGGAAGTTGTAAGCTATTTTCAGTTTGAATATTCTTCTTTTCAATAAGGCTTATTCTCCTTCTATTGATTCTTTTCGTAATGCTAACAAAACTCTCTCTAAATCTAGATACAAAAGAGATTCCAGGACCTCTTGGTCCTCAATATTAGAATATGACGAACGAATCGGCCTCCACAGATATCTTTGCTTGGGAACAAAACAATTAGCATTAGGCTTGGTCAACTGAAATATGTATTATTCATATGAGAGATCTTCTAATCGAGAAGATCCATCAATCTGAGATGAGTAGAAAGGCCCATTTTCTTTACTTATTCAGTTAAACTAAGGATAAAGACAAAATTCTTGTATATGTGGTTATATTTGAGGTATGGGTACGTGCAGATTGATAGTGTGACTTCAACCCCACCAACAAGGGTTTAACTCGTATCGAGCCGAATCGAAGTCGTCGAGGGGGCGAGACACACCTGACCCTCACAAAAAAAAAAAGTGAAGGAAACTGGTGTGCCCTTAACCCCTCTAAAGTCACGTCATCAACCAGCGTCGCCCTTTCGAAACCCTAACCTCCGCCTGCGATACGGCGAAACCCTAGCCCCACATCGCCGTTGCATGGAATCCCGGCGATACGACTACGGCAGCGGCGCCGGCACCGGCGGCAAAATCCGCCGCCACCCTCCCTCCCGCGCCGTGGCAGCCTCGCCCTATGCTCGTCCGGCCACCGCCCCGACCAACGCTCCTGGAACCGCCACGGCGGCGGTTTCGCAGGGGGGCGGGTGGTTGTCCCGGATTATTGCCGCTGCCACCTCTCGATTCCTTCCCTCCTTGTTCCGCACGTCTCCACCTCAGCTCACCGCGCTGGCCCCGCCGCCGCAAGAGCTGCTCGAGCCGCCGTCGCGCGACCAACTGCTAGTCGACGCGCCGCCTTCGCCGCTTCCCCCACCTTTAGGTTTGTCTGCATATTTTTGATCGTTTGCGGTTGCGGTTGTTTTGCTGCTTGCTCGGTGTTAGTGCTATTGTAACCTAGAGATTGGTACTATTTTCTCTGTAGAAATAATAACTAGTTTAGCTTTAGACAACACTTGATTAACATGTTAGTTGTGCATGTGGACTGTGGGCTATTGGCCGTCAGAATTTGGGCATTTACTCTGGCTGCTGTGATGAATAAGTTAGCGTGTTATCATCTTTTTTCAGTGTGGATTTGGGATGCTATTGTAATGTAGTATGCTCTTAGGGGAATTGTTTATCCAGCGTGTGATTGATTGATTGCTGGCAAGCTTACATAAATTTTTTCCCCTGCAATGTATAGAGGATGACCTTCCAGAATGTGAAGAAAACAGTGGAGTGGCTGCCAATGTAAGCTGAATCAATAAATTCTTATTGTATTTTTGTGTATTGTACATTATTTGAGTGATTGTCAAAACGATTTATAAGTTACTCCAACTAGACACTGAGTTTGCCATAAGCACTGTAACTTCATTAATTCAATTCAAAACATTTCCTTCAGGATCACCTTATGAGTCTATTCCAAGCCTGCAATTTTTAGCCCTTGTCCCTGAAGGTTTTATTGAGTTTTTAGCACTTACTCCCTCTATTCTAAATTATAGTTCATTTTGTTTTTGTCCTAAGCCAGACATCTTCATTTCGACCAAGTTTATTGAAAAATACACCCAACATATATAACATCAAATTAGTTTCATTAAATTCCCCATGAAATATATTTTGATTGAGCATTTGTTTGAGCTTATAGATGTTAATATATTTTTTCTAAAAACTCAGGCAAAGTTTAAGAAGTTTGATTTAGGAGAAAGCCAAAATTAACTTTAATTTGGAACAAGGGAGTAGAACAGATATTTACTTATTTATTATTAAGCTAGGAAAAAAAAATCTCTGTTTGTTTTAAGTAACACCCTGACAGGTTCTAATGGCAATTAATTTACTTTCGACTTTCAATTTTATGTCTTCTGTGACTTAGTTCCGAGCCCCTTTTGTTGGTGGCTCTTGTTAGGTTTCAACTCTAGATTTCCCCCAACATGCTTGGAAAGGTCTTGTTGTTTGTTTAACATAGTTCCAAACATGTGTTTGTTCTAATGCAGAACTTATTTACTGAAAATCCTCAAAGTTCTGCCAAGGGAGAGGAAGAAAACATGCTAAGAAATTCTAATGACCATGGTGGTATGGCTCTTGAAGAATTATTGAAGCAGAGAACTTTCACGAGGCAAGTATCAGTCCAAGATCTTGTTGTTAAGAGCCCATTGTTGTCTCATACTTGACGTTCGCAATTGCTGGTGCGAGCAGCGCAGTCTTGTAGCCCAGTTGCATTAGATGACAAATTGCAAAATGCTTTCCTACTTTGTGCTGCCACTTATACCACATTGATTCAACGGCCTAGCAGTTTCACCTGATTCCTCATTCCTCTATTCCTCTATTCCTCTTATGCTTAATGCTGTATATGTATCCTTCCTCGCAGCAAACATTCATATTTAAGGCTACCTGTGGAAGGCTAGTTGCTCTGGTCTAGTGTTTCCCATGTGTGTGTGCATTCCGGGGGGGGGGGGGGGGGGGGGTGTACAGTTCTGCTTTTCTCTTAATGAAATGATACACAATTCTCTTGTGTGTTCGAGATATTCAATGTATTGTGTTCGCTCTTTGCTAAGTACATCTTTCCTGGCTGACTTCTTGCCATTTTTTTATATGTTATGTGAATTCCAAACATTTCTGTTGGTTTACCTATTGCATTCATATTTTTCCTTTTTTGATTGAGGTGTGTGGTATAATATTTGAACTTATATCTCTGTCTCTCAGATGGTTATATTTGTTTGTTGTATGTAGGAGTGAATTTGAATATTTGACCAATTTGTTATGGTCTAAAACTATTGGAGCAAATTCACTAAAGCCAGAAGATGGTAACATAAGGAAAATGATTGTTTATGACAAGGAAAATGGCTCGGAACACTCCAACTTACCTCTTGATTTCTCCACTACAACATACAACATTGATGTAAGTACAAGATTGTGGCAACTTAGTGTGTACACTAGAATATTAAACTATTTGTATTATGTTTAAACTTGAATGTAACATATAGAAAATTCAGACTGCTGATCTTTGTGATCATTATAGCTTGTACGATCTCACTTGCTATGGCTTCTGTATGCATTTGAAATTGGATCAAGTAATATGAATTCCATGGAGTATCATATGACCTCTGTTATGTGTCCGTACAGGATCAAGTTGCCTCGCCTGCAGAAATTGCAAAAGCATATATGGGTTCAAAATCTTCCAAGGGGTCCCCTCTACGTCTTAGGTTGCACGATCCCTCCTCTATGCCTATCACATCTGTAGAAGCTAGTATGTCACAAAAAGCTAAGCCTCCCACAATCCCACTTGCCCAAGGCTCAAGATTGCATACTTCCAAAACTTCTGATCGTCTTGAAAGCAACTGCACAACACCGAATGGAGCAATCTACAAAATGTCATCATCTCCTTATTTCAAGGTTTATAGCTTGTTCATTTTATTCAATATGTTTTACTTTGCTCAAGTTATTTTTTGTATCAGCATGAACACATATGCAGATCACAGACAGATTCTCAATGGCATATATTTCTTTCCGTCTTTTCTTTAATAAGTCATATAAAAAAATCTTAATTGTTCATCCCTGTGGGCATTATTGCAACCACTACACAAAGAATTATACTTCTTAGATTCAATAGTTTCTTCATTATGTCTGTTTCCACTTTAGATAGATAGTTTCTTATCCTTTTCCTCCTGTGGCATAGCTTTATATATCCGCCAATACAAGGATTGTCTTTTCTAATTTAAATTACTTGTTCTGTTTCAGAGTGGTGTTTCTTCAAAGGAGCGATTTGGTTCTGTATCTTCACATTATCAGACCTCAAGTAGTGTTCATACTTTTGGCAGGCAGGTACTTATTATTGAAGCACAGTGCACAATCTAGTATTCTAGCATATTCATTTGGTGTCTTACAAGTTTCAGGATTAGTATGGTAGTGAGTTGCAAATCTAACTTTTGTATGTAGAGTTCTAACTTTCTTTGTTTCATTGTTGCCTAATCCTTTGCATATGGCACCTAAAACCAGTCCTCCATTCGAAGTACTATGCTAAACGCCTTACTAGATTAAATACAAATGATTGCCTGTTTTATCTCACTATATTGTGGTTGCTTATACATCTTGTAATTTCGTATGCTGTCCACATTATTCCTCAATCTTTTAGTGAGATTATGGCACTGAGGTTGAATGCAGCAATGTTGGTTAAAGGTCAATTATAGAACTGTCATCTTTCATGAAATTTAGGTTCCTCTTTACTCTATTGACCTTCTATAAATGGACTTCATACAAGTAAATTTACATCACTTTGGCAGCTTATATAAAACAAAAACAGAACTGAATAACTCCACCAGATTTACATCCAGCAATCTTAGTCTGGTAAACAGGTTGTCCTATGTTATGAACCTTAGTTCATTTGGGGATAACCATTGTCAGGAAGACAGCTGGGCAAAGTCGGCTTGGAGGGAGACTAGAGTATTTGGAGGAATTGGATTGTTTGTTCTTCTTTCTTTTCTTCTTCCTTGATAACATCACCTCCCTTTATTATATAGAGAGGACTCCTGGCCACCTAAGGAAGACCTGATCAAATCTAATCCTATCTCTGATTGATCAAATCCCTCTAAGGCTCTAATTGATACTATGGGCCCCTAACTGATGCCCCCATAACATCCTAGGTGTCCGAAAAATGAATCCTGACATCATTCAACTAAATTATTAGTTGGACAAAATGGCATGGTTTGAGTTTGAGTCCTGAATAGTGACTAGGTAGACAATTTTGAGCTATAGTGTTGCTGTGTAATTTTCCAATGTTCTGCAATCATTTTGTGGGATATTACCCTTTTGAAGCTACAGGGAATCTTACTACCTGCTGACTTTTTTCTGAAGCAGTCTTTCATTGTTAATCGACAGGTTTTGAAGAGGAAGAGTACTGCTGTCAGCAATGAGTCTGATGGTCCCATACGTAGAATGCATCAAAGATATAACAGAACATCGCCGCTGTTGGAAACAAGGCTAGGTTATCGTAGATACCTTGTGGGCTATGGAAGCAAACTTGAAGGTCCTGAGCAATTGGCACAAACTCAAAAACGCAGTTGTCTGGATAAAGTCGGTGATGCCAGTCTCGGTAGCATAGAGGATAGAGCTCATGTGAACTGTTTTGGTCAGGCACCAGAGCAGTCAGCTGAGATGGCAGCTAAGATACTGAAGCAGCTTGACACATTAGTTCCTTCGCAGAAGGAAAACACACCAGAAATAAAGCAGAAACTTGAGAGTGCCATATATTTCCAGGAGGATGTTTCTCGACAAAAGAAAGTACAAGCAGAGAGAGATCTTTTGGAACCTTCTCCATCAGAAGTTGAGTATTCCTTACCTGATGGTATTACATCTAACAAATCAATCTCACAAATTACCTTGAACAAGGAGAATCCACCAGCATTTTCTTTCAAAGGTAATGCTCCCAATCTGGTATTATCTGATGAAATTGGACGAAACAAAATGTCCACTCCAGCAAATGGCTTCACCTTCCCTGTCCCAACTGTCAACAATGCCCACTCGCAGGGCCCTCCAACACCTACATTGGCATCTCCCCCTATACTAACAGTTGAAAAGCAGCCTTCACTATTGTTCAGTGCTTCAGTCACTTCTGCAAAAAGTGGCCCTAGGTTAGTTCCTGATTGATAATGAAATAAAATTTACAGCTTAAACTTTTTCTGACCCTAAATAGTACTTTAATTTTGCTGATACTTATAACCTAACGTGTCATTTGTTGGGACATGAATAACCACATTTGTTTCATCTGTTTATTATTGGGAGCTATTTGGCTAGATCATGCTATTTTTGGTTGCCACTCTATTTTGTAATTTATTTAATCATAAAAATGAAGTACATTAGATTCTAATATTGATGTGTTTGCCTTTCCAGGATTTCAAAATCAGTATTGGGAGGAGCAGTTACACAGAAATTATATAGCAAGTTAAATGCAGATGATCAACAAATGCCTTCCAAGAATTCTGGGCAAGGTGCATCTTTCACAAGTAATCCTGTATTTAAGGTTGATGGCCCTGGATATGCATCAAACTCTATTGTCTCAGCTATACAACCTTCTAATACATCAATTGGCTCAGCTTCATTTCAAAGTGCTGTCTCTTCTACCATCTCCACTAACTTAGCTTCAAAGTCTACACAGAGCTGTTCAACTGGAGGCAGTCTCACTTTCTCCAATACTGGTTTCGGTAGTTTATCGGCAGCCAAAAATATGTTTGCAGGCAGTTCTTCTGAATTTGTTGCAGCAAGAACTTTAGCATCATCTTGTACAGGAAGCCCCAGTGTTGCTTTCGGTTTCCCTCCAGTTCGGACTGCAAGTTCTCCAGCTGTGCAGCGCAAATCCGAAGCAGCAAATAGCAGTACCACTATTAGTTCCATGCGGGAGTTTGGCATTGCAGGTTCTTCCACTATGCAGGACAAATCCAAGGCAGTAGACAGCAGTACCCCTTTTGACTTCTCCCAAAAGTTTCACACTGAGAGTTCTGCTTCAGAGGATATGTCCAAGGCAGCCTCTGCTGAGCCAACATTTTTTTCTAGGAATCATAATGCTCAATCAAAAAATTGCAGTTCCCTGTTCACACAGAGTCCAGCAAATACTTTGTGCTTCAAATCTTCAGAAAATTTAAACTCTGGAAGCTCACATAGTTTTGCAGATTCACCAGTTGGTTCAGCAACAATGGGCTCTAGTCCTTTGAATTCAAGCTCTCTGTTTTCTTGGGCAGCTGCTGCTTGTCCAACCTCTGTGACTGGAACTGCTCCACCATCTTCTCCTGCTACAAGCTCATCTTTTGCTTTTAGTTCCAGTCCAGCATTTTTAGCACAATCAGTATTCTCCAGCAAATTCACTACACCTGCTCCACCTTCATATGGCTCACCAAATACTGGTCCTGCTACATCACCATTCAGCCCAATGCCAAGTGCTGTATTTTCGTTCACGTCAGCTACTTCTTCAATACCAAATCCACCCACACCAATATTTGGTGACCCTACTGTACAGATGAACGGAGGGAACATGGTTGACAGGAATGGGTCCCCTTCCCCAGCAACTTCACCATTTGGCCTGCCAAGCAGCACTTCTCCATTGACTCCAACTTTCAGTACGCCTGCAACTCAATTTGCTTCTAGTACATCTGGCTCACCTGGAGTTTTCGAAGTTGGCCAGTATAGTCAAGTTTCTTCAGGTGGGTTCTCAATGGGCCCTAGTGGTGGCAACGACAAATCCGGCAGAAGAACCATCAGAGTTAAGAGAAGGAAATGAAATGCCAATATATTTCGAGTAGCAAATTGCTCTGAGCATTTAAGGATAAGACAATCAGCACGTAGTACTTTTTGTTTCACATCATTTGTCTGCGCTGATAATGAGAATGAGATGTCAGTCTTAAATTGATGATCACAATTTTGGCACAGTGACCAGCAATGGAACTGATTTCTGTCATGGGGGCCTTTTGAGATACGGCTGCCCATGACATTTTGTTGTACGGTTTGTCACTATAATGATATAATGAAATATGTAGGTACTTGTCCAACTTGAATTAGACCTGTTCAGCAATCAAGTCGTCCATGTTTTTTTGTGTGCGCAAAAAGCATAATTCATTTACTGCCCAATATTGGTTCCACTTTCTTTCCTTTTTGTTTTGTATATGAGTTTTGTTCTGTTTTGTTTTCGCTGTGTATTTTGAAAAGCGCTGTTACCTTCAAAGTTACACAGCACAGCTGTTCCGAGTGATTCAAGTAATCTGTATAATATTTATTACTCATGATAAAACTGAAGTAAACTTTCAGCCTGTTCGGGAGGCCGTATCGTATCGTGAATTATTTACTGCTGGCTGGTTTGGTGTGAGAAAAAAACACTGTTCCCGGCTAGAAATTTACGATTGTTTACGAGCAAGTGAACAGGCTGTTTATCTATTAGAAGGGATTTTTGGATCCCTTGGAACATTTCTTAGTATTAAGCTTTACTCTAAAACATTTGTAGAGCCATTTAAATAGAAATTGCCCACTATATCTTTCGACCCTCTACAACTTGACTAGCTTCGCTCTCAATTTTTGGCTAGTGACCCCTAAATAAGAGGATGACGATATTTAAAGATCTAATCAAAGAAATTATTAGAGGATTTTTTTATATCAAAATCTATTTTTCTATAAATAAGGATATAAAAAATCTCTTGGAGTTGCTCTAAGTGTTTCGTGACTAACCAGAAATAAACCTTTTTTATGAGAAGTTAGAGCTATTTAGATCTATAATTAATGCTAATGGTTAGTAGTTAAAATTAACAGGTTGGTCTGGTAATAGACTTGCTAACTGTTAAGTACTCCCTCCGTCTTGGAATAGATTGTATTATGATTTCTAAAATTTATATTGAAATATATGGTATTCTAGGTGATATTTTTACACTGGAAATAGCCCTAATAGATTGTATTAACAGATTGTGACTAACCAGAAATAAACCTTTTCTATGAGAAGTTAGGGCTATTTAGATCTATAATTAACGCTATTGGTTAGTAGTTAAAATTAACAGGTTTGTCTGGTAATAGACTTGGTAACTGTTAAGTACTCCCTCTGTCTTGGAATACATTGTATTATGATTTCTAAAATTTATATTGAAATATACGGTATTCTAGGTGATATTTTTACACTGGAAATAGCAAAGTTTGTTAAAAAAGAAACCATAGTTTAAAGAGACTTCTTAATTAGATTTAATCCTTGGATACCTACGTTATTAGAGTATTCTTTAAAGTTGTATTAAAAATTTTGAAATAGATTGTATTATGGACGGAGGGAGTATAGGTGTTAACAATTAGTTTATTAGTTACTGAAATGCTGCTAATAGTTTACATATATATACACCAACTAAGAGCAACTCTAGCAAGGCTGGTACTTGAGTAATAGACCCATACTAGAGCCTTAAATTTGAAAGGACCGGTCAAATCACCCTCCCACACCCCTCATTCCTAGGGGCATTGCTGGGAGCCCTCAAACAATAGTTATTGTCATTCCTCTCCCAGCCCACACACGAAACCAAATCACACCCCGCCCGTCCCACTCGTCCACAACCATGCAGCCTCGGCCTCCTCTGCCATCGTTGATGTGGGTCTTGGGCCACAAATACCGGTGAGTTTTTCCTCATGGGGCCTTCTTCCCGAGCGCAGCCTAACTCCTTGCAAGGAAGCCGCGGCTTGACTCCTCCGCGCGCGCCTTCTCCTGATGCTCGGTCCCTTGCGGACCTTGCAACGCGCGACGCCCTCCCCGACAATCCTAGTGATCACAATGCCCTCCCCGATGGCCCTCGCGACGTAGGACTCCCCGACGGCCCTGGTGATGCCCTCCCTATGGCTCCCCTCGGCACCTCTGGCTTGTCAAGCGGTCCTCGAGAACCTCCAGCTCCCGTCTTCCTGGGCAATGGAAGTCAATGACGGTTGAGTCCCATATGTCACTTTCTATTGAGATCAATTTTAGGGCTTTGATTTGAGAGGTGCTGCTGAAGTAAAAAAAAACTAGGACCTCAAAAGTAAAGGTGACTCTGGATAGAGCTGCTCTAACTATTATCTAGCTAATACTCCATAGTTAGTAAAGTTTTAGCTATTAACTAGCTAACTTAAATCATGTGCGCCTCGGGTATCTGTGTGCAAAATGGCACGGTTCAGCAGGACCCGTCCGAACTACAAAACCATGTCTAAAGGCGATTTCATTCTTAGTTCTAAGAGCATCTCCAAGAATTTCCTAAATCCCTTCTAATCCTTGGTTTTTAGGAAGACAGAACAAATATGTCCAACAATTCCTAATCCATCCACCTAATCTTTTAGAACTTGGGAAAATCACCCTGTTCCGCGTAAAGTTACGCGCTTTCTAGTCGCACGTATCTTCTCTTTCCCACGCATGTTTATCGACCAATCTAAAGGTGGAAGGGCGTGAAAAAAATAAAGAGTAGAAAATAGTTCCTGATGCAAATGTACAAGAGAAAGAATATATAAAAGTTGTTAGGATAATTTAGAAATAGTATATGATTCATGATGTAAAATTATCTTCTATATTGTAGGAGTGAATTATTAGAAACTCTTAGAGATGGCCTTCTTTATTCCTTCCAATAATTTTTTAGAGTTATAAAACTTCATATTTTTAGAAAAAAAATATTGAATACTCTTGGAGATGCTCTAACAACACCTGTTTTTCCCAAAAAAAAAAAGTTCACACGCATGCGTCGTTCAATGCTGAGCTTAGTGACCATGTTGTCGTACATTATCAATTATGGAAACCGCTAATTTTCATGCGCCTGAGAAATCGATTTTGTTCAGGTGCCGCATCTCCAATGCTCTGATCTAGGTCCCGTTCGTTGGTCTGAAACTTAGCTGAAACTGGCTGAAAAATACTGTTCCGGCTGAATTGTTGTGAGAGAAAAACACTGTTCCGACTGAAAAAAGAAGCCGAACAAACCGAATATGAGGTAAGCCGAAAATGGCCCTAATCCGGCTGCCTCCATCGCCGCCAGTGTAACACCTCCAAAAAATAGAGGAAATTATTTCGTTGGCCTTAACAAAGTGCTGCTTAGTTTCTCGGCCCTTTTCTCTCGAACTTGCTTATTTGGCCCTGAAACGAATTTTCTTTGGTTTCTTGGCCCTTCTGTTAGTTTGACAGGCTAACGGTGTTAAGCTGTATGCGAAATGACTCTTATACCCCTGGCGTTGAAGGCAACCGTTCAACAACTTACAGGCCCCGTTCGCTTGGAGGAATCTGGATGAATTTGGATGAATCTGGAGGAATTTGTGAGAGAAAAACACTGTTCTGGATGAAAAAAAGAAGCGGATCAAGCCACGTTTAAGGGCCCATGAACGGGGCCACAATTGTGTCATACAAGTCTTTAAGGCTGTCTACTATTAATAATTTTCCAAAATAAGATACAATATTTTTTCAAGCATGGTACAATATTTTATATGCATTTTAAATAGTCAGTGTGATGTTGTCATGTGGAAATATATATAAAAAGTAATGATTTCATGCTTTAAAAAAATATTGTACCTTATTTTGAGAAATTATTGATATTAGGCCGTCCGAAAGACCTATATGGCGCAACTATACGTTGTTGAACTGTTGCCTTCGGCGCCAGGGGTAAAAGAGTCATTTTGCGTACAACTTAACACCGTTAGCCCATCAAACTAACGGAAGGGCAGAGAAACCAAAGAAAATTCGTTTTAGGGCCAAATAATCAAGTAGGAGAGAAAAGGGGCCAAGAATCTAAGCAACACTTTTTTTAGGGCCAAGGAAATAATTTCCTCAAAAAATATGTTTTACGTGTTGGGAAGCGTAAAGTGGTAAATAGTTAAATAGGAGTTTTAACAGGTGGCAAAAAAATTATACTTCGCTCAGATAGATGATTAGAGACCATAGGTGCGTAGAGCTCATTGAATACGTTTCATTTGACTAGTCATATGCATTGTTTGGAGTTCGGCACATGAAGATATAGATTTTCGAAGTTTTGAAAAAAAAGTCACCTAGCTACAGTACCTGTGCGTGAACAATACCTGAAGGGGGTTTTCCGGTGTCTTTTCCCCTCCTCATGGTCGACCTCCTTTGGCTATCCCCCTCTATCCTCTACGCTCCTCCTTTCCACCATCCAACTCTCCATCGTAGCCCTTCTCACTTACTTGAAGAATCAACAAAAGGAGATGCAAAACGACAGGTACGTGGAGATGATCAACAAGATGTGTAGATCGACTTTCCCGCACTTCTTTCCTCGTCGTTGATCTAAGAGGAAACCTAGGTGAGTATCCCCAACCTTTTTCCCTACTGATCCATGTTTTTTTTCATGTTTAAGTCTAGATAATTGAAGATCTAAGTCATTGTTAGGTCGGATCGATCGCTGCACACAATTCTGGATTTTCAGATTGAGCAGTACAGATAGGTCATGGTGTTTGGCCTTATGAGAGGCCAAATTGGCCAAACCCTTGAATAAAAAAGTTATAGATATCCCCTTCATCCTTCTGCTCGTGAAATTTCATGTTTTTAGGCTTTGTAGTTTAGGAGTTATGTATTTTTTAGTGTGGCTGTTGTTGTTTTAACGATGTTTTGAATAGTAGGAGATTAATTCAATTTTTGATAATCTTAAAGGACAAACTAGTCATGGAAATGAGTACCAAAGTTGTAGAGTTTTTCAATATCTTTCCAAGGGTGTATGATACACTGTTATATCTGAAATATGACTTAAGATTTATGCTTTTGAAGTGAGTTGTTGGTTTCTGATGTTAGATTCTATTTCGATATTA